CACATTCCTGCTAAGGCTATCAACGTGATTCATCTGTCGTCCCGATCGGAACTTTAAATCGAACGAAAACTCTTGAATGGTTAACCACCAACGTGCAATTCGAGGGTTGAGCTCCTTCTTGGCACTTGTTAAGACCAACGATTGACAGTCAGTATATACGGTGAATTACTTTTTAAGCAGGTAGTATCGGAACTTCTTCAGGTTTTCTACCACTGCTAACACTTCCAATTCATAGCTATAGTATCGAGATTCAGTGTCAGTCGTTGCTCTGCTGAGATACATTACAGACTGGCCTTCGTGATTTTCATTGACCTGGATCAGTATCCCTGCCAATCCAAAGCTGCTTGCGTCACAATGAACTTCATGTTCGAGCGTGGGGCTGTATAGTGCCAAAACAGGCCATCGGGTTAACGCAAACTTGAGGCTTTCGAACGCCTTCTGCTCAGCTTCACCCCAAACAAACTGCACCTTTTCTGTAAGTCGTGTAAGATGTGCCGCAATGTGTCCGTAGTTTTGTACAAAGTGACGGAAGCATCCAGTAATACCTAAAAATTGCCTAACAGATCGCGCATCTTCGGGTGTAGGGAACTTCTCAGCAGCCATATCATTCGGCGACGACATGCCCTAGATACACGATTGATCTTTTGAAAAACTCGCATTAACCATAAGCGTCATCCCGGATTTCGACACCTCAATCTGGAAACGTTCCAGCAATGCCAAGTTTTCTTCCTCCGTTTCTGTGGCAACCACACAACGTCCATGGGGAATGAAATTCCTTGATTTTTCAGCGGTTCTACAAGTTTGTTCATTACTCGACAAAAGACATTGGCGGAATTTGAAAGCCCAAATGTGTACCGTTTATATTGGTACCGTTCATCCGGCGTGACGAAAGCGGTGTATTTTCTGGAATCCTCAGCCACACCAATCTGAAAATAACCGCTCATCATATCCAGCATGGAGAATACGCGTTTCCCACTCAAGTTGTGAATCTCTTCCTCGACACGATTAGTAGGAAAGTACTCTTTTTGGATAACAGCGTTCAGCATACGATAACCGACACACATTCGTTAGCTACCTGAACGCTTCGGGACGATCACCACGGGACTAGTGAACTCTGACGCCGACTCTTCAATGACGTTGTTTTTCAGGAGATCTTTTATTTCATCCTGCAAGTATTTCCGCTGACCAAAAGCTACTCTGTAAGGAACATGCCGAACAACTTTATCTTCCTTCAACGTAATGTGCATAGTCTCAAGGTCTGTGTAACCAAGCTCACTTGAATCGGCATCTTGATAGGGTCTTTTTTTGCTTCCATATTCATGATTACACGATCGTCCCATCTGGTGGTTATCGTATTTGACGTCTTCACAATGAATACACCTTTCTTACAGAAATAGTCGTCTCCTACAAACAGGTCATGTTTCATCACGTCAACCAAAATCCTTATCTCATTGGCGAATTCGTCTATTTGAATCATTGCTGTCACATTACCAATTGTTTTGCACTCACCTCCACCAAATCCTTTTAATATCGACGCATCACTCTTGATGTCCAATCCCAAGCTTCTCGCTACCTTCTCTCCTATAAGTGTTCGCTCGCTGTCCAGATCGATAAAAGCGGTCAATTGAACGTCTTTGATGATAGCCATTTTAGAGTGAATCACATTATTTAACACTGCCTTTTCTGGTTGACTACTATTGAAGCAGTGCTTCTGGAAGGACTTGGTTCCGGTCCCGCTTTTGCTAGAGTCTTGTTACAAGGATACATATTCAAACGTTGCCTGTTGTACAAGGACTTTCTGCTAAGCGTTTTATTAGTTCCAAACCGTCCGTGCGCTTCGGAGTCTCGTTTTTCGTCGTCTTTCGTTACACGTTCCACCCGAATCAACGCATTCAGGAACTGCGGCAAAGTATCAGCAGGATCTTGTGCCATGACTGCACGGGTGGAAGCATATGGAAGGCCCTTAATCAGCTTAATTAGCTCATCTGATAACCTTATTTTTCGGCCCAAGGCAACCGTTTCATGGAAATACGATTCCACTGATTTTTCAGGCTTACGCTTCAAGTTGATAAGCTTTTTGTGGATCCCAGCCGTGTCAATGACACTGGGAAAATTTTCCATGAACTTCTCTTTGAACAGTTCCCAGCTACGAAGCTCCTGCTTACAGCCATCGAATAAAAACTGTGCAGGTCCTTTAAGCCGCATACAGGCATACAACAATGTCCGCCTGGGATCCCAACCGAAGGCCTCGGAGATGAACCAGCGTTTGGCTGAAAATCTCCTTAATAAAGACAACCAACCGACAACCAACCAACCCAACCGAAGATTTCGGCCATCGAATCTATTTCGTTTAGCCATTCCTTTGCAACTATATCTTGCTGGTATTGAATGTGTACCCACAATATCAATTACCTTTTTTTATATATTTCCTGGCGCTGTACGTTTACATGTGCAAAAAAAAACTACTCGAAGCGTACCGCCAGGAACACCACATTTGAACTGCAACACTCTGACGTAGTTTATCCCACTTCTGAAATGTGAACTTAAATAACTCAATCTGCTCAATATAAACTTAACTGAACTAGCCGAGCCCCGGCTTTTTCCAACCACGACTTGTTCAGACAACGAATCACCAACCAAAAGCTTGATGATAGTTCCTCGATTTTCCTCAGTAGTGCTAAATAGTAGACTGAGCGACGCGACGATTTAACACCAGTGAACAGCTACAGCGGAGCAGTTCCACATATCCTGATTGGCTTAGACAATACCGACTTGATGGTGACACTGAAGAAGCGGATTGGCAAACCTCTGGAGCCAGTTGCGACGAAAACGAAGCTAGGATGGACAGTCTATGGGAACATGGAAGGCCTTGATGATCCACCAGAACATCGCCTTCTGCACGTTTGCTCGGGATCAACCCATCGTGAACTACATGACCTCGTCGAGGAGTTCTTCACCGTTGAGAGTACTGGTGTGAAGGTCGCACCGATAGTCGAAGCAGATGATGATCGTCGGGCACGGGAAATCATGGAGAAAACCACGATTCGTACACCATCTGGGAGATTTGAAGCGGGTTTGTTATGGCGTTATGACTGTATCGAGTTTCCCGAAAGCCGCCCGATGGCAGAGCGGCGGCTTAAGTGTCTCGAGCGTAAACTGACTACAGATGCGGAACTTTACAACAAAGTGAAGTTACACATCGCTGACCTGGAGGCAAAATGATACATCCATAAGGCGACACCGGTGAAACTGGCGAACTTTGATCCGTGGAGAACCTGGTTCCTTCCGTTGGGATTGGTTATCAACCCAAACAAACCAGGAAAGATCTGTATGGTGTGGGATGCGGCAGCGAAGGTGGAAGGCGTGTCATTTAACTCCATGCTTCTGAAAGAACCCGATCTTCTAACATCCCTCAAGTCAGTTCTACACCGTTTCCGACAGCGACAGGTGGCTGTGGTAGGGGATGTTAAAGAACTGTTTTTCCAACTTCTCATTCGCGCCTGGGATCGTCAATCGCAATGCTTCGTATGGCATGATGATTCATCACTACTAGTCGAAGTCTACGTGATCGATTCATCGGTTCAACGTGCTCACCATGCTTGGCGCAGTACGTAAATAACCGGAATGCTGAGAAGAACAGAACAGAATTTCCAGAAGCCGTCGAAGCAATAGTCAACAACCACTACGTCGATGACTACCTCGACAGTAGGGACACCGAAGAAGAGGCAATCCGAATAGCGTCAGAGGTTAAACAAGTTCATGCAAAGGCTGGGTTCGAGCTCCGTAACTGGTTGTCGAAGTCGGAAGAAGTTGTTCGACGGGTCGGGGAAAGCTCTGCAAGCGAATGCAAAAGCTTCGCGACGGACAAGTGTACAGGGATCAAAAGAGCCCTCGACATGTGATGGCAGCCCATCAACGACGAATTCACATTCAAACTTTGCTTGCGGGAAGACGTCATGAGCGTCTTTGATCCACTGGGACTAGTAGCAGCATACATTGTTCACGGGAAATGTTTGGTGCAAGACATATGGAGAAGCAAGATAGGATGGGATCAGCGAATTCTAGAGGAAATCTGCAGTCGATGGCGTCAGTGGGTGCAAGCACTTAAAGGACTGGATCGAGAAACAGTGATAAAGCAGTGCCGGCTTAGACAACATAGAATTACATGTCTTCGTGGATGCAAGTCTGGTGGCATTTTCTTGCGTTGCATACTTTCGCATCATCGATGAAGGACAAGTACGCTGCGCATTGGTGGCAGCAAAGTCCAAGGTAGCCCCGTTGAAACCACTGTCCATTCCACGGCTGGAACTGCAAGCGGCAGTTCTTGGCAGTCGCCTAATGAAGTCTGTTCAAGAGAGCCACACCTTACCTATACGACGTCGAATGATCTGGAGCGATTCAAGCACGGTATTGTCTTGGATCCAGTCGGACGAACGTAGATATCGACAGTTCGTTGCAGTGAGAGTCGGTGAAATCCTGAGCGAAACCTGTGTAGGCGAATGGTGGGAAGTTCCTGGAAAGCTGAACGTGACTGACGAGGTGACAAAATGGGGAGAAGGTCCATGCTTCAAAAATGGTTCTCGGTGGTTTACGGGTCCGGAGTTCCTCTACAAGGCTGAATCGGAATGGCCACCGGCCTTATCTTGAACTGGTATTATCGACAATACGGTCACGGTAGCTCTGAGACTGTGGTGAACGAGGTGAGACAGAGGTTCCATGTCTCCAGTTTGCGGAATGCTGTCCGGAAAGTAGCAGAGACGTGCAAATGGTGCGTCGTTCGAAAGGCAACTCCTCAAGCTCCTCGTATGGCATCGCTTCCAGAACGCAGGCTAGCAGCGTACATTCGACCGTTCACCTTCGTGGGTGTGGATTATTGTGGACCGTTCCATATCCGGATTGGCAGAGCAAGTGCCAAGAGATGGGTTGCTCTGTTTGTTTGCCAAACGGTACGAGCCATCCACCTTGAAGTAGCGAACTCATTGTCTACAGAATCCTGCAAAATGGCGGTGAGGCGGTTTATTGCTCGCAGAGGTGCTCCGCAAGAGATATATAGTGATCAGGGCACGAACTTTCAAGGTGAAAGTAACGATTTGAAGCGGGAGATAGCACAAATCAACATTTCATTGGCCAATACCTTCACCAATCGAAATACGGCGTGGCGGTTCAATCCACCGCTAGCCCCAAACATAGGTGACTCGTGGGAACGCTTAGTTCGGTCCGTCAAGGTCGGTCTAGGCACTCTCTCTATCTCCAGGAACCCGGACGAGGAATCCTTTGGCACTATATTGGTCGAAGTAGAAGCGATGGTCAACTCCAGGCCATTGACGTACGTTCCCGTGAGCGCAGAACATGAGGAAGCTCTGACTCCCAACCATTTTCTGATGTTGAGTTCCAGTGGTGTCGTACAACCAGCAAAGCAGCCTGTGGACGTTGCAACTACACTCCGAACCAACTGCGGACACGTTCAGGCTTGTTTGGACAGGTTTTGGACAAGGTGGATTAGAGAATACCTCCCTACCCTCAGCCGCCGCACAAAGTGGTTCATCGAAATCAAACCAGTGCAAGCGGGAGATTTGGTGATCGTCATGGATGAAGCTATACGGAACAGCTGGATTCGTGGCAGGGTCCTCAAGACACATCCAGGGAAAGATGGAAGGATTCGAAGCGTTGATGTGAAGACAGGCGGTGGCGTGTTCCAACGACCAGTAACAAAGCTGGAAGTGTTGGACGTGATGGATGGAGGTATAGCTGATGGAAGTCTGCAGCAATACGGGTCGGGGGATGTTCGCGACAGTCCTCACCTTGCAAGCACACACCTTGCACCGTCGATCCGTAACGTTAGGCATTGGATACGGATAACGGATAGCTTTGACGTTGATGTAAACCTTCAATCCGGACAAAGAGCACAAGTGGACAATGACTGTTTACAAGTGAACAAAGACACAAAGTAGACGAATTAAAATGTGCGTTCACAAAACTTTATCCTAAATTGTACTATTAAAATTCTAGTTTACGAAGTTAAAATTACTTATATAAATTGAATTGGAGGTAAACTTATATGATATTTGATTAATTAAACTTATAATCTAATGTACAATACGATACAATTTAGACACCAACAGCAAACACAAACAATCAGCTACGACGTGAATTCTTAAATATTAATGGACTAAAATCTGTAAGTTTCATGCAATTTATTATTATAATCTAGCTAATAAAAATCACAATTTGTAGCATAAAGCTTACTCTACGGAAAAACCAGAGTTTGCTATAAAGAGGTCCGAAAAACCAAGTGGAATTCACACCAGTGGCAACACGAGTCTTCGTGGAACTGCTCAACTATCAACTCTATACTCTCCAATTATCGAAAATTTGTTTATTTTTTTCGCTATTTTGGCCTGGAACTGCTCTTCTGTATATGGCTTTTAGGTGGCGGTGGGAGAACACAACTGATAAGAAGAACGCTATATTCCAGACTAAATTGCCTCTGGGAAGCTAATAAATACCCGCGTAAACAATAACCATAAGAAGCGCCTAACCACCACTTCGGGATATCATCCCAACTTTATGTGGTATGGTGGTACCAATTATGATACTGTTAGTGTATGATATTCGTTTATTAGGGTATGTATTCAAATTAGCGAAAATCACAGCTACTGCATCTTCATACACAGTATCTGTTGTAGACTTTGCACTCGATTACCTTAGTGTACCGAATGCCGAATGGTTTATTAATCCGGACAGTTTTTTTTTTTTATAAATACAATAAAGGAGACGATTTTGTCAGCGCATCAGTCTTTTATCTTTCAATAATTTCACATAACCGTAATTCCAAACCGTTCTCATTTATCTTCAAGATGGATGTTTAAGGTATACTTTGACGCAATAAGACCACTGTAAAAGCACATGGGTTTCGTAGAACCTTAGAGAAGATTTGTATTACTGTATTACAACCACTTTGCAGCAATATAAATAGGCCAGTGTGAGATGGATTGTATATAAAACACATATCGCAGCATAATAAATACAGAAATACATGTATGTGTGATAAATATAAACGATTAAAAATTAGCTATTAAAAGTGTCCGGAATTGAGAACTAAGTGCATTACGGTACATGCGACAAAAGTTAAGCTATGACCTACTAGGTACTGATACGAACTAATAAGCTTGTAAACTCCTGAGCTACAAGGAGATTTATATCTTAGTTATTTCTTCGTCCACCGTCGTAGACCGCGATTAGAACCGGAAATCTTTCCCCACCATGGGAAAATCCCTTACCTCGCAGTATAGCTGTTATTCATGTCACGGTCGATATGCGGTGAAATTTTAATCATACTTTAATCAATCAGCCAGACGCCCAACTAATCGACCCACAATCTCACGATGGATAGAGACAAAGCCTGACTGACTCGCCTTCACCATTGAGTGCGGTCACCGACACAATCAGTGGCACTCATTCTCCAAGGGCTCTCACTCTCTTTCTCCGCTAGGTGGTGTGATTGTATGTGAGAAAATTCCTCCCCTGCACGCCGAACCGGCAAGACCACCTTGAATGGTAATTTGTTTACAACCAGAAAACACCGGAAAATTCACCTGGATAAGCGATGGGTATTCAGTTCAATGCGGGACGATAAGAGTTCACGAAGAAAAGCTGGTTGTGTGGCAAATTGAGCGATTAACTAGAAAATGGAGCGTCTCCGAGCATCCCCAATAGGGAGAAGAGCGTTGGTTTCTCCCATTTCATCTGTGTTTGCTCCGGTTGGGATTTTCCCTTGTTTTGGTAACGGACGAAAGCACACTTGTTGCTTTGCTTCTATTAAATTGATTGATGGTCGTGGTGGTGAAGTTGATGTTGTTGATGAAATACTCGTTGTTGTGATAAGATTAGTTACCGTCCCTGGGGGTGGCGGAATTCTACGATGCACACGGTGTAAATATTTACACTATGTGACAAATGTCAGGTAATCATGACACTTGATTTTCGAAAACAATGTGAAAAAAGAAACCTAATAATGCGTCATGATTATGGTCGCTATATTTATAGTCTGGCGAATAGAATTTCGATCTATCAAAAAGCGGAACCATTGTAGACCAACAATTGAAAACGTACTATCAAATTTTATAAACAAAACGTAGATGGTTCTTTTCTTGCCAATCGAACGCAAATTACCAGCATCATCGGATAGGGGAAACTTTCCCCAACCCAAAGTTGTTGTTAGTTTGCGTAGGCGAGCCTTGAGTCATGAAAAAAGGGTTTCCGATGTTTTGTTCGCAATAGCTAATGTGCTGTTTTCTGTTGTTGGTCGTGATTTGCTCGATTGGTTCCGCTATTTGACAGCTCAATTTGTTCCCGAGATTCTATCCGCCAGACAATGAATGTAGGGTAGATGTACCAGTTATGGCTATACGTTCGTATTATGATGTGTTCCAATTATGGTCTATGGGAATTCTATAGGTCATAACTGGAACACACTTGTTGCTTTTGCAAACTTGCTTTTGCAAACAAATACGACAATCAGGCTTGCAATTGCTCATTACAGCTAAAATGCTAATTTTTGGAATTATGAAACTATGAGATACTATAATGATAATTTTTATTTGTAAGAAGGAAGAATGGGTGGTAAAGTTTGTGTATGACATACACAATTTATCAATTTTGCTTTCAGAAGGTCACAACTAGCGATTTTATAATCTCTGATTGCTCGCTCACCACGTTGCTCATCGTTACAGCTAATCGCTATTGTGACCCTCTGAAAGCTAAACTAACATGTTTTATGTATCATACAAATACTTTACCTTCTCTTCTTGCATCTTGTCAATAAGAATTGCCATTAAAATATTTCATAGCTTCATAAATCCGAAAAATAGCATTTTAGCTCTAATGAGCATTTGCAAGTTTGACGACAATCACAGATTTCTCGCGAATTAAGGCTCAATCTTAAAAAATACAACACAAACAGGTAGGGTAAACGCTCCTATAGTAGCGGTACGTTAGAAGCGTTAGGTTCCTATAGTTGTGTATGGAGACTCAATACACAACTATAGGAACCTAACGCTTCTAACGTACCGCAACTATTGGAGCGTTTGCCCTAGATGAATGACTGCTTTATCATTTGGTATATTTTGTTTGCGAGATTGAGCTTTTATTCGCGAGCAATCGGCGATTGACGTATTTGTTTACAAAAGCAATTACGCCAAAATCTCAAAGTTCTCAGGACTTTACATCCGCTTATCTATGGAATCTACATTATCTATAGGTTGGATGTATCGAAATATTTGTTGGATACACGGTAAGAAAAAGTACCTAAAATTGAGTTACTTTCACTCAACACGTGGCTTCCGTGGGGCTAGATAAAATTAAGTTAAAGAAGAAACTCAATTTTGAGTAATCTTGACCAAGAATCCATTGAGTGAAAATTGCCTAACGATCAATCGAATTAGAATTGGTAAAATTTATACCATTTTATTATTCAACGTTGGAAGAAAATTTGCATAATTTTCCTTTTTTAGAATGGAAATCAACAAATATATAGCAACCAAAGTAAAATTGTATTTATCTGTATCAACCTGCAGGAGAAGTTTCAAATGAATGGACTAATGGAGCCCAAATGGAGGTGATGGAGCAAAAAACAGCACCGAAAGCAGCGCAGGTTGCTATGATTTTCATCCAAAAATAAGTTAAAAGTATGCAACGGTGAAAACATGACGGTTGAGTACTTTTAACTGAAAATTTTGTTCTTTTTTATTTTGAATAAAAAGTATTTCAAGATATTCTTCGTTAGTTATTTTATGCAACACTTTTTACAAACATGAAATTTTTAAACAAAGACTATATCAATCGATAACATTTATGGTAACATTTTGTTTGTACTTTTTTGTATCAAGTTCGTTTATTTTTAAGGCTCAATCGCGTTAGCTTTACGGAACCGATAATTCATTTTTCTTTGTTTGTAACAAAATTCACTTAATTCTATGCCTAGTAGGAGTTGGGCTTAATATTCGCGGCTTACCCGAGGTTAGAGGGGTACATTGTCGAAGGATATGAAAAGGGGAGGAGCTTGGGGGAAGGGTTTCGTTGTCTCATCAGAGCGATGTCGCCAGTTTGTTTGTACTTTAATAAATACATGGTGACCAGTATATCCGTTTTAGCAGTTTCTCGGATTTTTTCCAGGAATTTTTGAAATTTTCCCGGTTTTGCGATATAAATTTAATTTAAGCATAAAACCAAAAGCGATTGAGCCGAAGAGATCCCTACGTTAAATGAGGCATACGGTCAATGAGAGTAACTCAAAATTGAGACAAATTTGACTCAAAATTAGACCTATGCATCGCCGCCGCCTGTGAAAATCATCCAACTTCCTGAATTTCTAAGATGTCCTCTGAATATCTCCAACGAGATTGATGAGCAATAAAGAGAATTTCAACATAGTTCCCTTTTTTTCTTGATTTGTTTTCCGTCGATCTTGTTTCCGTGCTGAGCACCAACGCTACCGACGCCAGGGAGGCAGCTCCCACACCTGGATCCTACCTATCTCAACCCATCAACTCATGGACCGGGGACCAACCATTTTACTTCCCTTCTGAAGGACGGCATGATCAGAGATGTTATGCCTCAGAACATCCCGGTGACGCCGACTGAGATTGAACCCAGGCCTGCTGTGGTGAGAGGTAATCACGCTTACCACTACAGCACCGGTGCCGCTGACATAGTTCCTTGATTTTCTACAAAATTCTTAAAATTTATTTGAGGATCGCTAATTTTTCATAATATTTGAAGAAGTTCTACAAAATTATCTGAAATTTCATTGAACATTTTTTTATAGCTTTATTAGCAAGATTTTAAGTTCACTGACTAGTTCATCTCGTAATAAGCAAAACTTCATATAAGTTGAAGATGCTAATTTCAAATAACAGATTAAAGTGGTAATGTTAATACGATAGATGAGATG